CATTGCATTGGTATTGGAATCAGTAGGGTGAGGCAGTTTTCTATCGCTTCCGTAAAAGATGTTTCTGCTCTTCTCAATACTAAATGTTCGTCTTAACATTCATGGGGAAGGAAACCAAGTCACTCAGTTTTATCCAAGTATTACATAATCTTTGGGGAGGGTGAAGATTCAAAACTGGAATATTAAAGAGCTAGATTATGTGGACCCATGCATAATGGGAAAAGTCAAGAATTTTTTTTTTTTTTGAGATGGGGTCTTGCTCTGTTGCCCAGGCTGGAGTTCAGTGGCGCAATCTTGGCTCACTGCAACCTCCGCCTTCTGGGCTCAGACAATTGTCCTCTCAGCCTCCTGAGTAGCTGGGATTATAGGCACCTGCCACTATACCCGGCTAATTTTTGTATTTTTAGTAGAGATGGGGTTTCACCAATGGCCAGGCTAGTCTGGAACACCTGGCCTCAAGTGATTCATCTGCCTCAGCCTCCCAAAGTGCTGGGATTACAGGCGTGAGCCACCATGCCCGGCGCCCAAAAGTAAAAAATTCTTACATAGCCGTTTTGATGTATCTTTCTCCTTGTATATCTGAGAAACTGAAAAAACTAAGAAGGTTCACATTTATATCCACACATAATAGACATGCATTCTCACACAAAAAGCATTTCAACTGATAAATATATCTTAATAGCTGTTATAAAACTTTTTCTTTTTTTGAGATGGAGTCTCGCTCTGTTGCCCAGGCTGGAGTGCGGTGGTGCAATCTCGGCTCACTGCAAGCTCCGTCCCCTGGGTTCACACCATTCTCCTGCCTCAGCCTCCCAAGTAGCTGGGACTACAGGCGCCCACCACCACGTCCAGCTAATTTTTTACATTTTTGTAGAGACAGGGTTTTCACTGTGTTAGCCAGGATGGTCTTGATCTCCTGACCTTGTGATCTGCCCACCCCGGCCTCCCAAAGTGCTGGGATTACAGGCATGAGCCACTGCGCCCGGCCTAGTTGTTATAAATCTTTTAAGCAGGTAGAAAATAATCACTTTCATTGTCTGGTAATAAGGCGACTAAGTTAGTGACATACTATAGTACACATTGCGTTAGGGACCCACCTATTGAATCATCTCAGAAACATATACATCATGATGGTAAACCTTCTGAATCTGGCTTTTTAGCACTACCGGCCATAAAATTTTGTCACATAATATGCTATATAATATTAATAAACTCAAAAAATCACATATGCATACAGACATATGCATTGCCTTGTGTATGCATGCTTATTTTTCATTCAAAACACTGAACTAACGAAACAACTTCTGAATTTAACCCTTGTATTTTGGTTATACAAGACAATGTCATGTTTTTAAAAACTATTTAAATTTAAAGGGGCATGGTATCTACAATTCATTTTCAAATGTTTGAGGAAAAAACCTATGAAGATTATGTGGCAAAATGTTAACAAATGGTTAATCTAAATGTAAGGGATAAAGTTCTTCATATTATCCTTGCGATTTTCTTGTAAGTTTTCAAACTTACAGCTTCAAAAATAAATGAAAATAAAACAAAACTAAAACTGTTTATGTGAAAATCATAAGGTGAAACCAGCCTTGGCATTATCTGTTTACTTTTCTGCTGTCTAGTGAAGTGCACTTACATCAAAGTAGACTGTACCTGGTTCACTGTTGCATTCATCATGTCCATCACAGAGTAGATGCTCAATAAATTACTTGTGGAATTCAGAAAAAAATGATAAAAAGTACAATGAAATTACTGATGTCACTGGAGCCCTTCTTTTCTTTCTTCAGCGCCACTGCAGCATTACTTACCCAGGAATCTGTCAAAGCTTTGCTCTCAGTGAGCCCTGTCAATCATTTCATGACATTGTCCTGGCCTCATTGATCAGATGGCCTTGGTACCACACTTTGGGCAACGCTTTCCCAGGCTGCCTGGCATGTTTTCATTTCAGAAGACATTCTCTCTTAAGACTACATGAATGTGTTAGAACAAACCAATGACCAAATCCATTAAATATTCACAATCAGAAACCCTACATTTTTGTGGCACCCCCATTACCTCCTTTTGGATATCACCAGTTATTCCTTGAAATTAAAGGACCCTCATGAAAAGTAGTTTTGTTAAATGAATGAAAACAAAGATCACGGTATGTCCAACATTAGATTCTATGGGTCTGAAACCTCTTAGAATGCATATGGCAGATAAGTGACATTTCATAAACTTGAATGGCACTAAGCTGAAGAATAAACCCTTAGGGCTAAAAAAATAAGGAAAACAAAGTATATGAAGCACATGAAGATACGACTGTATAAGCCTCGCAGCTAAGCTGATTTCAGTATTGTATGGGAAGGCAGTAGCACATTTTAGTGGGAAGACAGGGGTTTCTGAAGCCAGCCAGATTTTGGTTCAAATTCTGGCACTCCGTTAGCAGCCTGTGTGATCTTGGGCAAGTCACATAATTTCTCTGGGAGTTAGTCTTATTAGCTAAATAATGGGGATAATAATACCTCCCTTATTTTATAACATAGCTGTGAGGATCCATCATTGCCAACTACCATAGAAGTCTTGGTTCAATAAAGGGTAGTTCTCATTATCTCTACCAAGAGTGGCAGGAGCTGTGTCTGAGAGGGGATTTTAATCACATTTCTTTCACTAACACAGAGCTCCCTAAAGGCCTGGTGACCACAAATGAAGCCTTAACTCAAAGACAGTAGAGTCTTTGAAAAGAACAGAATTAAAGTAGGGTCTGTCCTTTCATGATGCGGCACAAAGAGGCTATTAGTCAACTCAGCAAATATGTGCTCTGTAAATCAGTTCAACACATTCAGAGAGATCACTCTGAGGCAGCATCCTAAGTCGGAGTACAAGGCAGAGCTTAAAACTTAGTGACTCTACCTGAGCCATGTAATCTAAGAACCAACCAAGGAGAAGCAATCAATTACTACCCCCTAGAGTGGAAGCCAGCTGTCTGAATATGACTATAGATCACCCAGGTCTATTTCAAATGAATTTTCAGGAAGTCCACGAGCATAGCAAGATTTTGAGTTATTTTAGGAGACATTACTGTCTGGATTGTGTGTGTTATTGGATGGATGTTGAAGGAAGAAGACTAGAAATCCAACAATCTTCCTACATAGGCTCAAATTCTCTTGTCTGTCACTGTTTCATGTCTGTTTCCTTCTTATTGGGAAAGGAAGTAGCATTGCAGGTTATGTGGCTTTGGATTCAAAGAAGTAGGATCTGGTTTAAATTCTAGGTCTGAATTTGGGGGGAGTTACTTAATTACACAGAATGCACTCAGGTTCCCCATCTAGGAATGTTAATATCCACTTTGCAGTTTTGCTCCAAGGGTTCGGTGAACTCATGCGTGCCAAAGGCGTCTGTACATAGTGATTACTAAAAACATCTCAGTTCCCCTGCACACTGACTGTTAAGGGGGCCAAATGAGGGAACCTTGTCCTTCCTCTCAACTGAAAGCCAAGATGGTATTGGCTTATTTAAGCATGAAAACATCAGTGTGATGCACTTAAAAGCCTGTTTTACCCCCCAGGGAATTGATGCAAAGGAATCAACATCTTTTGCAATTACCTCTGCCCAAATGGCTGCAGCTCCCCACACCGGAGCCGGGGCTGGCAGTGAACTGCTGCTCCCAATGTACGTTCTGGGAAAGCAGGCCGTTGGCTCTGCGGACCTCAGCCTCCATTGAGTTGGCAGCCTCTCTGTTGAAGTTGGGCATCCGCCAATGTCTGAGTTCCAGCTTTAAGTGAGACTGGCTTACAGTGTCAGGCACCTGTCTTTGGGGAAATAGGATTTTCTCCCGTTGGTGTGAGTATCAGTTTCGGGCCTTAATAAATTCACTGTACATGAAGCTACATCGTCTTCTAGTTTACGCCTATTGTGTAAAAATAATTAGCGCCTTTCATTCTCAGAAGTGACCCGGTTTAGATGACAAATTATATGGTCACCAGCTATGCCCATAAAAATGCAAGTGAAAGCAAGGTGGCTGGGCAGGAGTCAGGCGCCAAGCAAAATTTTAAAAATAAAAAGGCTTTAGAGAATGAAAAATTGATTTTTAACATTGAGGAACCAGTGCTGCCACCAGGTTTTCACTTGGCTCAAGTAACCGGTAATGATTAATTCAAAAACTGTATTGGTACGTGTACATCACCTAACAGTGATTCTCTCTAGGGAAGGAGGAGAAATTAGTGAGTGCCTCTGTGTCTGTGTATCTGTCTGTGTGTACAAAGGGGACGGAAAAAGTCAACGATGTGCTGCTGGTAAATATTTAACAACCAGTTCTTGGGGATGGGCAGGGAGGAATCACTGAACATGGAAACTGGAGATATGCTCACAAAGGTCTTGTGGGCATGTAGAAGCTGGCCTGGCACGCCACTGAAGAAATGGGACTTTTGACATGTACTCTGAAAACTTTCTTTGTTCTGCTTTATACATATATATCATTTTATTTATAAATGCTTATATATATGCTATATATGTATATGCTCTATTATATCTCTCTACATATATACATAAGCCTAGCTATATGTATGCAAAAATTAGTCCTAATTGTAATTTTCCTAATTCTTGTATAAATTTCAGTGCAACATCCACGTGAACGTGTTAACATACTGAGTGATCTCACAAACCGGATTGCTATAGGGTGCCACACGACTACCGGGCCCAAGGATGCAATGTTCCCTTTACAATTGATTACCAGGATTTACCCTCCTAGCCCACATCTGGTAGAAGACAACATCTGGCTTCAGTGTTGAGAAGGATGCTGAATGGAAAAACTTGAAGATGGTTTGAGTTAGAGACAGAGTGGGATCTAACCTCAGGCAAAAGGGGGAAAAAAAGGGTTAAAGTTCAAATGATGAGAAAAATAGAATGGGGCAACAGAAAAGTGTGAAGTTGCTCTTTATCCATTGCAATTTACCTCTCTCTGTCAAGGTGTGTCTCAGTAGCTTCTTGCAAGAGTGGGAGGGGAATGGGGAAGAAACAGTCTGTACTTTCATTTATTAAATGCAGCTTTCGCTGGTCACATTGCAACTCAATACAAACAGCCCAGCAGAGGGTAGGGCATTAACTCTCGTTCTCATCAATGTAAACACAATATTAATATTGAAGATTAAAGAAAATGGGTAAAAAGTCCAGTGTCTCCTCAATCTGTGTGAAGGTGAAGGTGGTTGCCTACCCTTGGCCAGGTCCCAAAGGGAGACTGAGGTTGTCACCTCTTCCCATCCACAGTGAAGCAGGCAAGAACCAGAGGAACCCAATCGCGTTCTTCCTGTAGGTCTCTAGATGGATACGTCGATCTTCAGAACTGGGCTTGCATGAGTTATTAAAGTTCTTCTAAAGGCCTGAGAGGTTCGTACCTTGCGTGTGCACTGAAATAGTTCCTTCAAAGCCCTTTCCCATGAATCAGTCACTGCCAATAGAAAATGTGACCGGTGTAAAACAGTCAGCCCTCGTAATTCCGCAGTCCCCATCGTGGCCCCTGGATTCTGGACAGTAGGGAGTTCAAAGTCACGGGAGCCTCGGTGATCATCCTGAAGGAAGCTGCCCATGTTTCAATATTGGCCGAAGATGGTTGATCTCCTTCCCGGGCCACTGCTGATAGAGGGTGATTGGTAGAGGCAGCTGATTTTCCTGCAGAGCCTCAAAGGATCAGATTTTCTGTTTTGGATTGCCAGTCCCCAAAATAAACAAACAAAATCCCCAAAGAAAAACAAATAAAAACAAAACAGGAGTGACTTTGGGGATAAGGAAACCCATTGACCTCACCTCCAGGACCCCCTGGCTACGATGTCCCCATTGGGTTTTTCCATGTGGTTGGTTCAGGTCATTGGTTTCCCCTCCGTTTGAATGCCCAGCTACATTGCAGGGCAAAGGGGAAAGTTTCCACTAAACAAAGACACTTTCGCTTCTATTTCCTGGGACGAATAACCCCTAGCACCCTGACTTCCCTTTCTCCCTAGTTATGATGCGAAGTATAATTATTAAAAAGCAACCAGAACATCCTAAAGCCCTGCCTTGATCTTGTGGCTTTGCAGTAAGATGAAAATCCTTTTACTTCCTCTCACCCCTTGATTTCCCATTCTTGAAGAGACTCATCTAGGTGGGCTGCATATCTAACCTCTGGGAATGCAGGGTTGTGGGGCAGAGACAGACTGGCTGGATCCTTGTGCAAGTTCTCTGTAGTGAGGGCAGCTTGGCTGGGCCAAAGAGATAAATAAAAACAAACCAAAAAAGCATGGCTCAATTTTGAATTTGAAGGCTGGGCCCCAAACAGCGAGTGGCACTTCCCCTGCAGCATGTCTCCCCCTAGTGGTGGGCGTCTTGGTGCTAGCTGTTGTTCTCGGCTGTGAGATATTTCAGGGCAGCAAAGCCATAGCGGCGGGACATGTCCTGCTGAAACTCTTCCTTGAGGGTTTTGAGACAGATGCGGTATTGCTTGTTGGAACGGAACTTGGTAATGTCGAAGCTGGGGGCATGGGGCATGTGGATCATGTAGGCGTTAGGCAGCACAATGAATTCATACTCCTGGAAGAAGACAAGAGCAGCGTGAGAACCTGCCAGAGCCTGGCCGGGGTCATGCATGATGAAGGCCCAAGCGAATGACGAGATGGACTAGCGCAATGAAGACTGATAATGGCACCGCACCCAGGCACGGGGTACGATGACAGGCATGACATAGTTTTGAGTGGGGCAGTTCAGCGGCTGTTTCCATGCACCTTGGACCAGGAAACTGGGCTTCTCTGAGCCTTCATTGTTCCATCTATAAGGTAAAGTAATACATATCCTTGAACGAATGACCATTGACGGGGAACCAATATTGTATAAACAGCTGCTGGAGCGAGCTCATGCGCCAGAAAAGGCGTTTCTTCTAATAGATTGCGGCTTACCACCCACATTGGACACTCTAGATGACACAACGACCACCATGGGATATCCTCTTGCTCAAATTAACTAGACATCCGTTTATGATTGCTCCTCATAAGGATTTTAATGCGATCTGACACAGCCCTCAACCAGATGAGATGCAAAAGAAGCGTAACAACAAAAACAAACAGAACAAAAAACAGCGCGACACCGGTGACATAACACAACAAATGTCGCCGACGTAAGTCATCAAGAACCAACCTCGTCCCATGACACATCCTTATACGGCCAGGTCACATTGTCATCCAGTATTCTCAACTTGGCCAGAATACAGCTTAATTCTCAGGCCAACAAATAAAAGGCCAGCTGAAGAGCCCAAAACATGACCGCAATTAGCGTCATATCGCTTAGAGGAGAACTCAGCACACTTTTACTTCCAGAAGGCTATTTACTCTCATTCTCTTGGACAATATTGTCCTGATAGAGCTTTTGTTATCATATCCCAGCCCAGAGCAGCATAAGACAATAAACTCCGGAAACATGGCGGATGGGAAGGCGGCTTGTATAGGGTAGATACACTACCACAGCAGCCACGAAACAGACAGATTGCTGTGAGGAATGAGTGAGAAAAACCATTCAAGAGAAAATGCACGCTCTCCCAGCAGCTGCAAACTGTCCCCGAACATTTAATGGAGGGGAAAGGATCCCCCAACCAACCGCACTAAGCTCCATGGTTATGACCGTCTTATTACCTTGATTACGCAGTGTGCACTCATTGCTTCCTTAAGGTATTCGGAAAGGGTACAGAGTACATGGTTGCGGACCGCAATTGAGCCAAGAAAAGAGAAAAATATGCAACATATATTGCAACAGGAATTCTGTCCCAAAGCTCATCTAAAACAAAGGCACAAAGTCGGGCTCATTGGCCTCGGAAATCATTAACTCTCTTTCATTTGAACCAGTTCATCCACAGCCACTCGCCGGACACATGAACCATGACATCCTTTGAACGCAGCAAGCCTGAGGCATACTGAAACACCTGTGCCCCCATGAGTAGCCACTCTCGCTCATCAAAGTATATCAAAATATGGAATACTTCTACAGCCCTGCGTACCTGTGTTAAATACTGCGACGTTGCTCTATAACCTTCTGTCTACATCCAGTGGATTGCTCAACCCCAGTGCTCTCAATCACCTGAGGACTGCCCATCCAACACTGGAACTATGGGAAGGAAAGTTCTCCTGGTGATCTCATGAATGCCAGCACCTCAGTATCCAACCCTTTAGGCTTTGTGCGAATTGGACGTGCTCTTGTTGAAAAATATGTGCACTGTGCACCAGAGAGGAGAGGTGCTTAGAGAAGAAGAGCACACACACACACACACATCACACAAAACCAAATCGGGTTGGAGGGACCCCAGCAATCAACTTCTTCTGTGAAATTCAACCCAGAGCAGCTTTAGCTTTTCGTTTATTTTAACACAGGGGCTGAAAAATTAGAGCATGTCTGGCCCATTTCATGTTTTTGTAAATAAAGTTTTATTGAAACAGCCACACCCATTTGTTTAAAGGCTGTCTAAGACTGAACTACAATGGCAGAGTTAAGTAGTTGAAAAGGAGACCTGTAGGTCCCATAAAGCTCAAAACACTTACTATCTGATCCTTTACAGAAAAAGTTTGTTGATCCTTGGTTTCACCTATTAGAATTCTGTAGAAGATCTACTTCGAAGTAGGAGTTCAATATGTATCAATGGGATGAATGAAGGAGTTCATGACTAAACAGTCTCAGAGTCACTACTCTGTTAGTAATGATGTATGCATCTACAAATCTTTTAGTAAAGGGTGGAATAATTAGCTGCATCTTAGCAGCATGCTTTGTCGTGTTACGTGACTCAAAGGCCAAGTGACGAATGGTCACATTTGCGTGTCTTCATCATCAGGTTGGGTGAGGATGAGGAGGTGAAATGGTTTGTCACAGGAAACTCACGTTTACCTGGGTCCTGGCCAAGAACCCAACTCTCACCCAAGGGTTGAGGAAGGAGCAACGGTTTGGGATCAAGAGCCCGAGGATCAGTACTACCACTGGTCCACGAGCATACCTTGTTCCCTCTTAGCTCTTGGCTTTCTCCTTGTCTCCAAGGATCCCTTAAGTTCTAGGATCTAGGCCTCTCCCTGGTTGGTCGCACTAGGTGGATGCTCCGTTCTCACCTGCACATCCAGTTCCATGATATGCGCCACTTTGTTCCAGCCGAAGCCTACAAACCTCCGGTCGTACTCCGGGCAGTCGCGTCTCACGACAACATACGGCTCAAAATCGGCCTCCCACTCCACCCGGTAAGGCGTGGTGGCGGTCCGCCACTTGGCGAAGTTTGTGGGTGCGTGGCCTTTCGTCCAGACGTGGTACCTGAGACACACGGAGAAAAGCCACTGGGTGGAGGGAAGGAAGGCAAGCTCTCCAAATGCAGCCGATGTGGAGGAGGAAGAGGTGTACCCGGATGTAGTTCTCGGGTGAGTGGAACTGTCTCTCTCCCAAAAGCTATGTTGAAGTCCCAACCCCCAGTACCTGTGAATGGGACCTATTTGGAATCAGGATCTTTGCAGATATAATGAGGTTATGACAAGATCACAGTGGATTGGGGTGGGCACGAATCCAATGATTGCTATCCTTATAAGAAGGGGAAAATTGAGACACAGAGACACGCCGCAAGAATACCATGTATAGGCATCGGCAGAGATGGGAATGATGGGTGCATCTGTAAATCAAAGATTGCCAAACACGACTGGCAACCACCAGAAAGAGGCCTAGGACCTCGGGGAAGAAGCATGGACCTGCCGACAGCTTGATCTTGGACTTTTGGCCTCCAGAATCGTGAGAGAATAAATTTTTATTATGTTAAGCCATCCGGTTTTTAGTATTTTGCTGCAGCAGCTACAGGAAACCCTAATCCCGTCTGCTATCTGCAGACTTCACTAACGAGGAGATTGTCAATATGAAAAGGAACTCCTGGAGGGCTCCATGCTATTTCTCAGGAACTGACTGCAGGTCGGCTTGTGTAGAGTGATTGCTGCCAGAGGCCACTGTGGTAGGCAGGAGTATAAGACGGTTCCCCATGACTCTCACCCTGTACAGTGCTCTCCCCTTGGGGCAGAACCTGTGAGTATATATGTGATCGCTCCTGGGATTATGTTACATTATATGGCAGAAGGGATTGTTGTAAATATAAATGAGGTTACTCACCAGTTTACCTTGCGTGAAAATGGGAGATAATGGAATCATGTGACCCTTTAGACCTGGGTCTGGAAGAAAGCAAGGAGCTAAGTTGGGAGCTGCCTATGGGGGCCATGTGGCAAAGAACTAGACTCTAGGAGAGCAGTCCGTGGCCCAAAGCCAGCAGGAAAATGGGACCTTAGGCCTAGGAATGAAAGGAAAGAAATTCTGCTAACCACCAGTGATCTGGGAAGAGGAGAATTGCAGGTCTGCTGACTCCTTGATTTCAGCCCAGTGAGATCCCGAGCAGAGAATCCAGTCATTCCGTGGCCGGATCTCTGATCCCTAGAGACTGTGAGATCACAAATTTGTTTCAAGCCGCTATGTTTGTGATAAATTGTTATACAGTAGTAGAAAACGAATACAGTCATATAACCACAATAAGAAGCAGCTAATATTAGTTAACCACTTATTGTGTACTGAGACTATTTTAAATCTGTCTCTCTCTGTCTCTCTCTCTCTCTCTGTCTCTCTCTCACACACACACACACACACACACACACACAGATATTGTTTTAAATTCTCATAACTTACTAAATGTCAAAGTAAAAGCAGTAAGTGCTGGAGTTGCAATTCAAAACCAGGAAGCCTCGCTCAAGAGCCAGGAGCCTCCTTAAGCACTGGCTGGGTCACTTCTAACTCTCTCTCTTTCTCTCTCTTTTTTTTTTTTTTTGAGATGGAGTCTTGCTCTGTTGCCAGGCTGGAGTGCAGTGGTGCAATCTTGGCTCACTGCAATCTCCGCCTCCCCAGTTCAAGCGTTCAAGCGATTCTCCTGCCTCAACCTCCCAAGTGGCTGGGATTAGAGAAGCCTACCACCATACCTGGCTGATCTTTGTATTTTTAGTAGACACGGGATTTTACCACGTTGGCCAGGATGGTCTCCATTTCTTGACCTCGTGATCCACCTGTCTTGGCCTCCCACAGTGCTGGAATTACAGGTGTGAGCCACCACGGCCAGCTGGGTCATCTCTCTTACATATCCCTGTCCCCCACACTTCCTGGCCTGTTGAACGAGTACTCAACAATCGTGCACTAAACTGAATGAATGAATGAGTAGCCTAACAACATGACAGGCACCCGAGATGGGCCCATGTGTGGGATGGCAATATGCCTCTGGAAGCTACAGAGAGATGGCAGGAAGCTGCGCGTCTAGTGAAGGAGTAGGCAGGGACCAAGAGAAGGGTTAGGAAAAGGAGTATCCAGAGCTGGAAAGAAAAGTTTCATGAAATGAAAACAGGACAGAAGGGTGGGAACCCAAGAGCTTAGCCGCAGAGAGAGAGGAAGTGGAAGTCCTGGATTCTATCTCATCCTGCGGGCAGACTCTCCAAAGCAAGGGAGGCGCTAAGTGAGGGTGAGTGTTCTGTGTGGCCAAAGGGACACTTTCTGGCAGGGAACGCAGCTGCTTCCTTCTTTTGCTTTTCTACCATTGAGGCTGGACTCCCCCTAAACCCTCAGGGAACTGGCCAGTGTGGCTGAACGGGCACTGGCCAATAGGTGGGCTTTGATCAAGTTGTGCTGTTGGGTGAGACAGCCAGGCTGGGGGAGGGCAGGAACTTGAACTTCAGCCCCACCAACACAGTAACTTCCATCAAAACCAAAGCCACTTAAATGGAAGAAAAATGAAAGGTGAAGCAATGTCATTTTCATGGAGTGTGGAAAAGGGATATTGCGGGAGATGTCAATCTCGGGTATGATCCAAAAATTAGGCCCCAAAGCAGTTGCTTTTCCATTTGCGAACTTGCTGAACGGACAGTCTTGACACCTGATGCCTTCGACAGAACTGGCACAGCACAGCTGATGGCCGTGAACTTGTATGAGGTTTAAAGCACAGCACAATGGAGAGATCAGGCCAGGGTTCAAATCCCACCTCTGCCACTTAGGAGCTGAACGCCTTGTAGAACCAAATGCTTTAACTAGGCATTAATTTCCTTTTGTGTCAACTGGGGAAAATAGTATCTATCTGGTTGAACTGCCAAGGAGACTGAATAAGAAAATGTAAAGAGCCTGGCACAATATCGGCATAGAAGAGGAATTCAATAAATGCTAGTTTAACAAAGTGGTTAAAAAACAATGGTTCTGGAGGCAGCCTGCCTGGGTTGGAATTCTGCCATTCAACAGGTATGGGTACATTAACTAATTGGCACCTTTGTTTCCTTCTCTTGGCAAAACGGACATAGCTGTATCTACTTCATAGATTTGTAATGATTATGTGACTTGATTCACACACAGTACTGAGCAGTTTCTGATACATGGTAATTCCTCAAAAAAGAAAAAAAAAAAAGAGAGAGAGGCCAGGCGCGGTGGCTTAAGCCTGTAATCCCAGCACTTTGGGAGGCCGAGACGGGCGGATCACGAGGTCAGGAGATTGAGACCATCCTGGCTAACATGGTGAAACCCCGTCTCTACTAAAAAATACAAAAAACTAGCCGGGCAAGGTGGCAGGCGCCTGTAATCCCAGCTACTCGGGAGGCTGAGGCAGGAGAATGGCGTAAACCCGGGAGGCGGAGCTTGCAGTGAGCTGAGATCCGGCCACTGCACTCCAGCCTGGGCGACAGAGCGAGACTCCGCCTCAGAAAAAAAAAAAAGAGAGAGAGAGAAAATTCTCTTTATTATTTCTCCTTGTTTGCTTCCCAGATATGACGCCGATTCCTAGTGGTCTTGCTCTCAGTGATACTGACAGCCATATTATTGGCCATCCATCCTTAGAATCTAAACTGTTGGACAATGATAATATGAAAAGGAAGGGAAAAGAACAGGGGAGACGGTGCCATTGCACTCCACTGTAGGGACAGTTGGGTCAGTTCTACTCATCTGGCTGAGGAGGCAGCTTTGATCACTTCAGCCTGGACACTGACAGCCTGCTGAATGGCTGGGCAGCACAGGGTGCAGTCAGGTTACAATGAACCTATTGTTCAAACAAGCCCCAGCCTGCGAATGACCTATTGCCAGGCCAGTAGACACCGAACTTTGAGTCTTGCTGTCTGAGACTAGCAATGCCAGGTAGCCTCCTTCCCTGCTCAAAAAGGGATGGGAAGACGAGAGAGGTTTCCTAGGTACGCCTTACAGGATGCTACTGGGGAGAAGAGATTTGGGGCACTTTGCTTTGAGCAGTGGTTCTCAAACTTGAGTATGCATTAGAATGATCTGGAAGACTGGTTCCAACTCCAGAGTTTCTGATGCAGGAGGTCTGGGCTAGGCTTGAGCCTGTGCATTTCTAACACGTTCCTAAGTGATGCTGAAGCTACTGGCCCAGGGACCACATTCTGGAACCACCGCCCTAGAGGACTTGTAGGGGTGTGGATGCTTTCTCATTCCAGGTGTGGTAGGGAGCAGATTTCAGCTGCTCAGAGGCTGAAGAGTTTGTTATTTGGAGAGCAGGTGACAATAGCAAATCTCTCAGAGACAGGGGCTGTAATTTAGCACTTGGCATGATGGCTTGCAAGCTGCTGGACAGAGTGGCAATCATGGACACAGCAGGCCACACCCCAGCTCTTGTGGCCACAAATATGGCTGTGAAATGAGTTCTCGGTTCACCGTGGTATGAAGATGGCAGGAAGGATGCCTTGGAAATGTGTCAGATGCTCAGACTACGGCATCCATGGGAGACTTAGACTCAGGTTTGGTCTGAAAGTCTCAATTTCGAGGAGCAAGTTTTTACCCTGCATTTTAAAACACTGGGTTAAAAAAAAAAATCCAGGACTCAATCAGTAGCCAGATGGTATTCTGACGAAGAACACACAGGTTCCTCAGACCTGGGCAGAATCCAGGCTCTGCTATTCACTGGCTGTGTGTCATTGGCAAGTTATTAAACTTCTCAGAGCCTCAGTTTCATTATCCAGGCAATGGGGATAACAGTATCTGTCACATAGATTTATTGTGAGAATTAAATATGTAATCACAGTGCCTGGCACATGCTAAGCATGCAATAAGTGGTAGTTATTTCTTTCAGAAAAGAAGGAAGGCTTGGGTTGGGTGGGGGCCTCCTAACTCTTCCAGGTCACTTTCTAGAATTCTCGATAGAGGAAGAAGGCTGGAGTTTGAGTCCTGGCTCTCCTGGGACCTCTCCACTCCTCAGTTTCTTCGTCTGTATAAAATGTGAAAAATGATAACCTCTGAACTGTTGAATGAACTACCCATCTCATAGTTATTTTCACAAGATATAGTTTATTTGAGGAAACTTTCTAGAAATTTCTAGAAACTTAATCGTGGTATGAAAACCCAAGTTATTATGACTATAGTGTTTTCAATAAAACTCCGATGGTCTAGAAAGTTATGCTTTTTAGCTCCAAGGAAGTGTTGGCCATTCTGACATCATTCACAATAGTGGCCTCACTTTAAAACTGGAGCAGGGCCAGGCGCGGTGGCTTACGCCTGTAATCCCAGCACTTTTGGGAGGCCGAGGTGGGCAGATCACCTGAGGTCAGGAGTTCGAGACCAGCCTGGCCAACATGGTGAAACCCTGTCTTTACTAAAAGTACAAAAATTAGCCGGGTGTGGTGGTGGGCACCTGTAATCCCAGCTACTCAGGAGGCTGAAGCAGGAGAATCGCTTAAACCTGGGAGGCGGAGGTCACAGTGAGCCGAGACCACGCCATTGCACTCCAGCCTGGGCAACAAGAGCGAAACTCTGTCTCAAAAACAAACAAAAACAAACAAACAAACAAACAAACTGGAGAAAGCGGAAGCACCAGCCCTCTCTTCAGACTGCTCAGTTATGGCACCCAGCAGGCCACCTACTTTTCCCTGGATCACTACATGTAATGCTGCAGCCTGTCCCCAGGACATGGAACCTGTTTGCACTTGTGCAGTGGCACAGACTCCTGCAACACTCCGGACAGGTGACAGGGGAGCTCCCTTGCAATGTTCCTGTAGGACTCAGGGGCCTGGGAAAGAAGGAAATCAGGGTTCCATTTGCGATGATCAGTTGGGCAACAGGAAAGCTGGCTGCCACATGTGCTGGGTCACCTTGATGACTTGAAGTTGTTGATACAACGGTTACACATCCCCCAGGCCTCAGGGGCTCAGAGAACAGACCACTCATACCACAAAGAAGAAGGAAAACCACCGCCATGGTGCTAATAGAATGAAACCCACCTACCAAATGAATGGATGGACAAGCACACAAAAGAGAGCTTGGAGCCAGGAGATGGGAGCAGGAACCTAAACTGAGTTTAGTAAAAAGGACAAACAGAAATAAGCTAAACCTTCCTACCCTTCAGCCCTCCAAACATGCCTACCCTTCCATCTGAACACATAACGTCTGTCATCCATGCACAAAAAAGTACATGGCACGTACCGGCATGGGGAGAGGAGGGAGATTACACAGACGTTGTCTGGAGAAAGTGGTGCCTTCCCTGGCGTCACAATGGACTAAGGTGAGCAACAAACTTCCAGATCAATAGCTTTGGCATCTGGGTTTCCCAGGAGAAAGAAGGCCTTCGAGCACCCCCAGAGTACAGCAGATAGAGCCACTCACCTGAATGTGAAGAGGGTCCCCATGTCCAGCATTGACAGCAACTCCGCCTTCGACTTGGGGAAGGAGAGCCGGTAGCGCAGCGTCTCGAATGCGGGGACGATCATTGCTTTCTTGGTGTTGGCAAGGTCGAGCTGGATGACAGACTTCCTGAAAAGAGGCGACAGGCAGAGACAGAGTCCCTGTGACACCAGGCCAAGGTCTTTTCCCCATGAGGGCGGGGTGGTCACTGGCCCAGGGAAGTGTGGGAGAGAAAGCTCAGGTCAGCCTCTCAATTAAAGATGGGGAAACTGGGCCAGGTGCGATGGCTCACGTCTGTAATCCCAGCCTTTGAGAGGCCGAGGCAGGCACATCACTTGAGTTCAGGAGTTCGAGACCAGCCTGGTCAACATGGTGAAATCCCATCTCCACTAAAAATACAAAGAAATTGGAGGGGCATGGTGGCGCACACCTGTAGTCCCAGCTACTTGGGAGGCTGAGGCACGACAATTGCTGGAGCCCGGGAGGCAGAGGTTGCAATGAGCTGAGATCATGCCGCTGCACTCCAGCCTGGGTGACAGAGCTTCTGTCAAAACAAAAAAAAAAACAAAAAACAGGCAAAGAAAGGAAAGAAAGGGAAGAAAGGAAAGAAAAAAAAGGAAAGAAAAGAAAGAGAAAAGAAGGAAAAGAAAGAAAAAGAAAGAAAGGAAAGAAGAAAAGAAAAGAAAAGAGAAAAGAAAGACAGGGAGCCCTGGGAGGCAAGGCAGCTTGCCAAACACTTGGGGAACCCAGAGTGGAACGAGATCTGCTGTCCCCGAGACAGAGAGCTTGGTCTTCCTGGAGAATAAACAGAGGGCAGATCAGACTGAGGGGCCAGGAGAACCTCCCACACATTTTCAGTGTGTGCTCCTGCCAGAGTCAGGCACAGAAGGAAGGCTTCAAAGGACCACAGGGGTTACAGCCCAGTCTGCTTGGTTCCCTGTGCTGGTCAATCACTCCGACTGTAGCCCTGGCCACACCAGAGCAGGTGGACGGAGAGCCGATGAGAGAATCACCCAACTGGGTACTTTCAGGTTCCATTTCAGTGACTCCTCAACTCCTTGAATTTTCCAGACTCCAAGCCTTTAAAGTAGCCAGAGCCACCCTAGGCAGCCAGCGCTGGTAAGACAGCTCTGGTATCCCCTTTGGGGGAAGGTTCTGCAAAGTCTTGCCTTAGTGCCTGGCCTTCGACTCTGTTCCTCTGAGCCCCGATCCTGCACGCCTGGGTTTGTCTGCCTTTTCCCTGCTCTGTGGCTGACACTTGGAAAGGGAGAAAGGCTCATGGTGGGCCATAAATGGCCAAGCATCTAGTGCCATATGGCATGAGGATTTTTTTTGTTTTTTGAGACGGAGTCTTGCTGTGTCACCCAGGCTGAAGTACAGTGGCGTGATCTCAGCTCACTGCAACCTCCGCCTCCCAGATTCAAGTGATTCTCCTGCCTCAGCCTCCTGAGTAACTGGGACTGCAGGCGCATGCCACCACATCCATCTAATTTTTGTATTTTTAGTAGAGACGGGTTTCACCATGTTGGCCAGGCTGGTCTTGATCTCTTGACCTCCTGATCCACCCGCCTCGGCCTCCCAAAGTGCTGGGATTACAGGTGTGAGCCACCACGCCTGGCCAGCATGAGGTTTTTAATAAACACAGACTGGATTTGAACCCCGGCAAGGTGACTTTATGGGTCCTGCCATCCTGGGAAAGAGATTTAGCTCCTCACTACCTTTGGTCCCTCATCCCTAAAATGATGGCCATAACATCTACCTCCTGGAGACTGAACAAAGTCATATACTGCCACTTGGCACATCTGGCCAGGGTCAGGCATGCTGTGACAAGTGGTCACTATTCTACTGCAGTGCTATCATGACTCTCTTACTTGGATCTTCTGTGATCTCTTTTGGCCAGAACCTAGGAATTCATTCTGGCCTCCTGCTTGGACACTGACCTTTGGGTCTCAAGGTCATCATGGCTGCCGGTTTCTATCTCTAAAATAGAGAAAGCAGACTTTCCTGGGGAAGAGGTAGGCATTGTAACGCATTTTGAAAAACCACTGAAAGTAGCAGCCCTCCGTGGCCATAAAACTGTCCATTGAAGGCTGGGCACACTGGCTCACGCCTGTCATCCCAGCCCCTTGGGAGGCTGAGGTAGGTGGATCACAAAGTCAGGAGTTCGAGACCAGCCTGGCCAATATGGTGAAACCCTGTCTCTACTAAAAATACAATAATAATAATAATAATAATAATAATTAGTCGGGTGTGGTGGAACGCATGCTGGTAGTCCCAGCTACTCGGGAGGCTGAGGCAAGAGAATCACTTGAACCTGGGAGGCAGAGGTTGCAGTGAGCCGAGATCGCGCCACTGCACTCCACCCTGGGCGACAGAACAAGACTCCGTCTCAAAAAAACAAAAAACAAACAAACAAACAAAAACCAAAAATCAAAAAACCACCCTCCACTGCTACATTATTAACGTCACTTCACTCAAACAGACTTGGAGCGTGTGCATTAGCAGGGACTAGAGCTGGCATGCAAAGAGGAATCACACCGTAAGGAAGTGACTAAGTCAGCCCAGGCCTGAATGGGACAAAACAGGGTGGCAGTCCCAGAAGGACACAGGACATCAGCAGGGCTTCGTTATCACTGAATGATGAGGGGGAATCTGGATCAGGTCAGAATAAGGACAGTTTCCTAAAACCATCCTTGGTTAACGGATCTCACCAGCTCCCAGTAAAGAGGGGGTGGTTGGGATGGGCTGGAAGTTCATTTTGGAACCCTCTGAATATCAATTTGCAGTTCACTCTTTACCACAGTGCTCACGTTAACTACATACCAAATAATATATAGCTCTCTCACCACTATTCCAGAGGAGGTTCCTAAAGGACGACAGCAAGATATAGCGTGTGGCGAGCTCTACTCAGCCAGTCTGAGGGCTAGAGGTTTGAGTTAGCCTGTCCTGGCCTGGATTCTTTTCCCACTTTGTCTGAACAATGTTAGTTTTCAAACATCCAAGATTCCCTCCTCTATGGCCAGGCGTCTAGTGTCAGCTAGCACTCTCTTTTGTATCAAACCTGGATTAGATATGGGCAGAGCTAGGCTCTTTACCATTCCCCCTGGAAAGGTGGGTACCTTATCTATTGATTCTGGGTATTGGGGGTGGGATATATGGGTCTAAAGAATATCCTTGGACCAAGACAGCGAAGCCCTTGGAATCCCTGGGGCAGGGGGGAAGGTGTCCCTGTACTGGTGGGTGGTTGCTACCCATTCAACAATCACCCAGCACCTATGATGTGCCAGGCTCGTGAAGATACAGGGTGAAAAGAACAAGCAAAGTCTCTGCCCGCATGGTGCTTACATTCACATAAACATCACAGGATGCTACAAGCCTAGGGACAAATCTTTGTAAACTGGGGCCCCAGACTGTATTTGTAGCTGATTATTTTATAATACAATGCTACAGAAACAGAATAGAAGGCTGCGAGGGCAGAACTATAAAGGGAGTGGGCAAAACATAAAGACACATACACATATATATGTGATGGATACAGAGCTCTACAAACATGGATGTTTGTATCTATATAAGGCTCAAGTTACTATTATCATCAGTTGCTATAGGAGCTGCTGCTTGGAGATTAATTCCTGCTAGAAAATAATTCCGCTTTCTATGGGGGCAACCTGCCCCCTATACATAGAAGCAAGCTCTCAGAGTTCTCTGCCTGTCCTATCTGCACCCCTGGCAAGGGCAGGTTTTTTAGGATTAGACACTTGACCCAGGCTGAGCACATCAGTTTCTTACGCTTGGAAATTTGAATAGAAATAGAGACTGGGAAAGCACTGACTTACAGTGATGACAGATCATGCTCTCAAGACTTCTGAACTGCTGCAGAGGGGCCCAGAGCTGCCCCGGTTAATTGTAGTCTTACGTGTTGGTTTTCCAAGTCCTAGTTTGATTTCATAAGATAACCCATCCATTATTTGCTTTGTTTTTCTTTGATTTGTTTTTATTTTACTTAAGCTACCTGGTATTAGTTTCTGTTGCCTGCAACTAAACAACCCTAACCAATATACTGGAAGACCCAAAGCAGACAGACCCAGTAAGCAGCATGCCTCACAAATGCAGTCCTAGCAGGCCTTATTTCCCTCTGCATAGACAGCACCAGATTCTGGAGCGCTTTCTGCAACCTCCCTTTAATCTCACTAAAATACAAACTGCCACAAAGACGGATCTGTCACCAGATAGCTCCATTTCAGACTCAGTTCAAGGAGGTTTCAATACTGATGTCCTGAAAGGGTCTCATTATGAAGTTGTTTCAGCAATAAAGAGACTTCATGGTACAAACTCTGAGCACCTCTGTTTTTTGAGAAGGTGACGGCAGCCTGGGTCTTTCTGCTCTGTGTTGTTAGTATATCTTACCCTGGATGGGGCTTGCTGTCCTAGGGGTCAACGATGTGCAGCCATCAGTTCTCTGGAAAGTGAGTCCTGCAGAGGATGACGTGCAGTCTTCCAGGAACAGTGAGGCAGGACGATGAGCGAGAAAGCTGGGCGAAGAGCCAGGAGACCTGAATTCTAGGTCCACCCTGAGAAGCTGAGTGACTTTGGGTCACTCCATTACTCTTTAGATTGCTAAATTTAGATTATTAAGATGGGAGCTTTGGAAGACAGTGAGGTGTAGTGATAACAGACCAGGCATCTAGCTCTGACTCTACTAGGCTGTCTTCCTGGGCAAATCGCTTTCACTATTTTGAGTCCTGGGGTTGATGCACTTATAAAATATGTTGATGAGGATAAACACAGTGCTTGTGGAAGGGCTTGCTATAACGCCTGGCACACATTAAGCACGGGGTACATGATGCCTATGATGGTTCCTTTTCTGTATCAGATGGCCCAGGCCATGGTGCCCAGTTACTTGGTCACGTACTAGTTTAGACACTGCTGTGCAAGTGTTTCATAGATGCATTAAACTGCAATTATGTTTGCACCAACCTAATAATTAACATGTACAATCAGTTAACTTTAAGGAAAGGAGATTTCCCTCGATAATGTGGGAAGGCCACACCTAATCAGTTGAAGGCCTTAAGAACAAAAACTGGGCCACGCGCGGTGGCTCACGCCTGTAGCACTTTGGGAGGCCGAGGCGG